AATATTGGGTTATCAAAAAATTTTTTTCCCCCCTCTATATATATATATATATATATATATATATATACACACACACACACACAAAGACAACTGAAGGAATTATATATAAAAGAGAAATGTTTTGCAAAATAAGTTCACTCTGCATGTCAATATGACTGGGACATATTCTTAATAAGTTTCAGGACATTTACCCAAAAATACCTTATGTGCTTCTCATCATACTGTACACATGTTCATAAATGTATATGTGCTTAATATGTTTGCGTTTGTTTACCAGTATCGACCAGCTGACAGAGTTGGTGCGGCAGCACATTGAGAATGGAGTTCAGATCTATCATGAGCTGGTGCTGCAGAGCGCTGATTTCTGCTTGGATGGAGACTGATCTGTCGCCCGCTCCACGCCGATCCCTGCTGGAGCAGCCCAAAAACAGCACTCTGACTGTCCAACAGCTGCACAAGACAGCATCTACTGCTCAGAATCAGCATTACTCAAAGAACCCTAAACTAAAATGCCACGGATTGATTGTCTTTAAAATAAAAATTATTACCCCAAAAAATAAACATTCAGTTATTTATTTACTCTCATGTTGTTCCAAAACTGTAATTTTGGGTAAACAAGTCTTGTGTGCAAAACTGAATGAACAGAATGAGAGTTAAAACAGAGCCGAGCAGAACTGAATGCAACATGTTCCAGTAGAATCCAGTAACTGTACTTTGGTTTTTGTGCATTGTGTGATGTATCCAGGTCTGGTGTGCAGTAATGAGTTGACTGAAGTTCTGCATGAGTTAACCTCTCCTCACATGGGTAGTGATATCCTACCTGAACCCTGGATGCATATCACTCCCTCACAGGTACAGCTTCACGCTAACCTAAATTATAAACTCCTCCATGGTTTGCTGTGTGTCTTTGGTAGCAATCATTCATACTTAATTTCCTTTCCCAACCAACCAACTTGCTTAAGGAAGTGGGTGAAATTTATTCATTTTAAAAGTGTCTTCATTGCTTTGGCTTGGGTATATAAAAAGGTGAAAGATTTCTCCCCACAGATTTCTGAACTTTTTTAAGTTTGTCACTCAAATTCACTGCGTTGACTAACAGAAAACTGCTTGGTATGAAAGTGACTTCTGTGCGAGTTTCATTCATTGCTACATTATTGACAGTGGACCTTTTTGCCCACAGGATTTTGCTGAAAATGCATTAGTGTGACTGACTGTGCCTTTACATGCAGGCCTGTTTGTACTCACATCATAACATGTGCTATTGTGTTTGTAGGTTGATGAGTTGGTGTGTGCATTAGCTCAGGACTCTGAGATGTTGGACTGGCATCAGTTTCTGCTCACTGCAGCTCTGCCGTGGCCGTTTCCCTCTCAGACTCAGCTGTTAAAAACCCTTCAGCGCTACAGAGGCGTTGACACAGCAGGAACCAGACTCATCACACAAGAACAATACACACAGGTCTATTACTCTCATAGAGCATCACTAACATATTTAACTACACACAGACCTATAAACATCAACAGATGTGCATGCTGTTTCTACAGTTAAAATGAATGAAAGCAAGCCTAATCTATATAATCTTGCTACATTTATATGTGCCTACAAGTTCAATTTAACATGTGTTTTGTTCTATGATCAGGTTGAATTGTGGTTTCCCAGTAAAAGAGATCTTCCTGTCCCTGATGACCCAACTGAACCTCTACCCTATTACAGACTAGCTAATCTTAAAAAGGTAATGCAGCAGGTTAAAAGATCTTTTGAACTTCAAATGTGGCCCTGGACCACAAAACTAGTCATGAGTCAATTTTTCGAAATTAAGATTTATACATAATCTGAAAGCTGAATAAATAAGCTTTCCATTGATGTATGGTTTGTTAAGATAGAACAATATTTGGTCGAGATACAGCTATTTGAAAATCTGGAATCTGAGGGTGCAAAAAAATCTAAATATTGAGAAAATCATCTTTAAAGTTGTCCCAATGCAGTTCTTAGCAATGCATATTACTAATCAAATTTAAGTTTTGATATATTTACAGTAGGAAATTTACAAAATATCTTCATGGAACATGATCTTTACTTAATATCCTAATGATTTTTGGCATGAAAGAAAAATCAATAATTTTGACCCATACAATGTATTTTTGGCTATTGCTACAATTATACCCCAGCGACTTAAGGCTGCTTTTGTGGTCCAGGGTCACAAATATTTTTTTTCTTGTTTTTGTTCATGTTAATATTTAGATTTTTACCTGTCCGTTTCCTTTTGCTACAGCTGTCTACCTATCTCATCCTTCAGTAACAGCATCTTTGCAAAGATGTATTGAGAAGATATAGAGTGTTTTCATAGTACATCAAGCTTTTATAGCACAAAAGATAAAGAATAACTTAATATGCAGTAAAACATAACTGAATAAATGCATTAAAGGAATAGTTCACCAAAAAAAAAGAAAATTTACTGAAAATGTGCTCACCCTCAGGAAATCTGAGTTTGTTCATCAGAGCAGTTTTGGAGAAATGTAGCATTACATCACTTGCTCACCAATGGATCCTCTGCAGTGAATGGGTGCCATCAGAATGAGAGTCATCATAATAAAAACATCACAATAATCCACAACACCACTCCAGTTCATCACTCAATGTTTGCGAAAAGAAATGCAGCATGTTTGTAAAAAACAAATCCATCAAGGCATTTTTAACTTCAAGCCTTATGGTGTTTTTAACTCATTCTGACGGCACCCATTCACTGCAGAGGATCCATTGGTGAGCAAGTGCAATGCTACATTTCTCAAAATCTGTTTATGTGAAGAAACAAACTCATCTACGTCTTGGCTGGCCTGAGGGTGAGTACATTTTAATTTTTGAGTGAACTATTCCCTAACTATGATGTTTCCCAAAAGATTTTCTGAACATAATCTATATATAAACATAAATGTGTTGTTTTCTCATTTCTGTGTATAGTTTTCCTTCAGTCTGTTTGCGAGCACACACTCATCTCCGCTGATGCTGGACTATCTGAGCATGCTGCTGTATTTCTGCTGCCATCCTGAACCAGCTCAGGGCTTCACCAGAGCGCTCAGCCTCCTGATCGGACACACTCTGCACTATAAACACACCAGCCCCCTCACACAGGTACACACACAGTATGACACGATTCACAGACTCTTCTGAGCTGAAGAGAACTTGTCATATTTCACCCCAAAATCAAAAGAAAACCCTGTTTTTAGAACCTTTATTATTTGCATTTTGACATCATTTTTAATTCAACTAAGCACATTAATCTTGCTTAATTTACTTATTCTCATTGCTGTAATGCACAAAAATAATATATTACTTAAACTGAAATGTTTGAAATGTGTTTTCATGAGGTTCACTCTGATTTTTGTTTCAACCGCTGTGTTACTGCTGTAGTCTGTGCTGTATATGGAGGGTGCTGGAGTTGAGGAGTGTGATGCTGCTGATGAAGAGGAGGAGACTTCATCAGACTCCACCCCTGATGGAGGGGTGGAGTCTGATGAAGTGGGCGTGTCTGTCGATGATGTGCTCAGAGATCTCCTCACACCTGAACCGCTTCCAGAGATGAATTCAAAGAGGTAGAATATAACAGCTCTGCTCCAAAATCAAAAGATCCCATCAACCCAACTTCATTTGAACCATTTTCAGATTATACCAAAAATATAAACAAATAGGAAGCATTTCTATTTAAACTGGCAAGATGGCAAAAATACTTGGAAGTGTGTGTGTTAGTCACTCATAACTGTCGCATAAATGTAGGTCTATTTGTGAATTATTTCTGTCCAGTAGATGTTCACTGAAAAGTAATTAATTTGGTTTTGGAACAGAGTGACGTAATCTGTGGTTCTGTAGATGGTGTAAAGGGTCTGCATGGAGCTGTATTTAATTTTGTGTTGTGTTGTGTGTTCAGGAGCTGCTGAAGGAGTTTAAGGAGTTGGGCTTTAATGGTGAGGAGAAGATTCCTTTCTCCACGCTATGCCAGCATCCCTTTCTGCAGGACCTGATGGAAGGATCCTCACAGTACCTGCTTCCTGTGAGTATAACACAAATATGTGATCTCACACACATACTACAACAGAGCTCAGTGGTAAGAGCTTTCTGGCAAACAAAGTTTGAATGAATATATAAAAAATTATTTATTATTTTATATTTATATAATATTATTTTACTGACTGAATGATCTCAACACAGAAGATGTCAGTCACTAAATGGATTAATTCTGCTTAGATTAAAACACATCTATTTGAAACATTTTAAGCAAGTTTTGTTGCTTTGATTCCATGTTCCATGAAAACTTGTTTTTCAATAGGAAACACAAGACAGAAAGATGCACTTGTCGAGCCTTTTTAAGGGTCTTTATTTTAATTTCATGTGTGAAATACAAATTAAGGTTGTGCTTTTATTAATTATGATTACATTTATTCTGTACAGGACATTCACAAAATTCTTAGAAGCTCCTCAACATGATGAACACTCAAAACAACACACACCAATAACAATACATGCATCAGACAAGGTACATGCTAATGGAATAAAAAATGTAAGTGGGACAAACAAGCTGTATTTGGTATAGTTATAGTTTTATTTCATGTCATTTGTATCAAAATTTATCATGAACACATGAAGAACAGTGATTTGCTGTAAACTCAAAGATGTCATTCTAAATGTATTTATTTTAGTGAAGATACACATTTCTTGTCATATTAGTGATTCTGTCAAATCGGTTAATTTGGTGTATTTGTGTGATTCAAAGATGATTTGATGTGGAAGCTTGAACACGATCCCATACAGCAAAAGCAAAATATTAAGATCAATGTAAAGTCAGCATAAAACCTACACAAAAAAATAAAAGGTAAAAATAACAAACAATATGTGTGAATGATTTGTGTTAAATGAGTATGTATAGGAATATATATGAATACACAAGTATAAATGAAAATGTAAAAAGAATACAATAAAGATTGAACTACTGTATAACTGTATCTTTGGTCTTTGTCAAATGAATAATGTTCACTGTTTTGCTCACTGCCTGCAGGTGAGACACATGACTTTACATGAAATCAAAAATAAGAGAAACAAAACATAACTTTTGGACACTCAATCATCTCTAAAAATTATATGAAAAGTGAAAACCCATAAATGACTTTGACAGATCGCAGTCTGATTTTTAGATCTCTCAGAGTTGAACATTTTGCAGTCACTTCCTCCCCCCTCAAAAACATGGCAGCACAGACGTGTGGACAGATTCATTCAAGACTCTTCGGGCTCTTCAGCATCTTTCATCTCAGTGTCGATCAGATTCTGTTGCTCTGCAGTCTGAGACACATTACGGATGATATCTAGCAAACCTTTTATCCTAGCCACAGCTATGATGTTATCCAGGATGGGCTGCATGGAAAAGCCATATTCCATAACACTCCAAGTTTTATCTCCTTTTGTTTTGTACTTATAGCCACCAGTGTGGATGCCAATCAGATTGCAGTCTACATCAAAAACTGGAGAGCCAGAAGATCCGTGAAAAAAGCAAGAGTCATAAGTGAACTGGTTTTCATATGCTGAAAAGTCCCATTTCTCTTCCACGCACTTCTCATTTATAACATGAATTAAATGCTGATGCTCAGATGCATGTTTATGTGCAGCCTCTAGTCGATTCTCTCTCTCAATGATGAAGCAGGGGTCCATTTTCTTAACCCCTTCACCTGGATGTCCCACAATGCAGATCTGACCTTTTTTAATAGGAGCGTTTGGACTGTAGCTATCAAACAAATTAGGACACTCAGCCATTTTATCAACATCAAGTTCAAGAAGAGCATAGTCAAGATGCCTTCCTTTATCGTCCTTTCCATAAAAGTAATCTGTGAGTTGTTTAACTGGTATGCACTTGCTATCCTTTGAATCCAGGTCTTCATAACCAAATACAGCTGTGAACTGTTCGGCGTTAACTTTCGTAAGGTCAGTAAATATCCCAATAACATGAGCATTAGTGAGGATGAATCTGTTGAAGAGCAAGAAACCAGTTCCTTCGCGAGTCCCCCCCTTTCGAATCTGACACACCGAGTCAGAGAGCTTCATAAGCTGCTTCACTTTCTTCACTTCCAAGAAATTCTCAACACTTTTACCATATTCTTCTCTGAAGAACTTTTGGACCTCAGATTTGTTCTTTAGTTTCTCTCGCTTCTTTAATGTCTCCAGTAAATCTGGAAACTGATCACGCAGAATTCCCAGAATCTCTTCAGAATTTACATTGGGTTTAGCAACATACTGTTTAGTTGAAGGATCCATGGATGTTGTGTTTCCATCTTGTTTCTTGTCTTGCTCAGTGTTGATGGGATTCTGACTTGAACCGGCAGTTTCTGCCACATCAGCATCTGAAGCTACATTAGGTTCAGTCTTGACAAAAGTCAAATCATCTTGACTGTCTGGCTGATTCTGGTCACTAAGAACAACTACCTGGAAAGCCTTTCCGTCAAGATCGTCTACAGGATTTGACAATTCATGCATCTCGCTACCAAACTCAGACAGTGCACAGTGTTTCTGGAAAATGACATTGTTGAATCGTCCATCACGTTTAAGAGCAGTTTTGACATTCTCTCCTTTGAATGCATACACACAGACATATTGTACTCTGCTCCTCAGGGCGTTGCTCTTAAGTAAACATTGCACTTTCTGTCCTCCGTCTTTTTTAACCAAGAATGTGACTAATGTTTCAGGTTTACTTTTACTGAGGAGTGAAGGATCTGCAGTTGTTTGATTTGTAGAACTATTTTCATCTTTTATGAACTCTATTTCTAAGGTCTCATCTCTTTCAATAAGACAGCAGGGAAAATCAGTCTTCACAGCTGCCCTAGGAACTGCTCCTTTTGATCTTTGGATGAGTATTTCTTTCTGCATGTTTTTGTTTTTGTCTTTTTCACTCCTGAACACTGAGCTTGTATTAAGAGCCTCAAGCACAGTCATGGATGTTTTATAATACACTTTATATGATTTTTTATCATGTTTTAAAGAAAAAAGAAAGTGGTTATTTGCTTCTGCTTCCTGTTAAAGTAAAAAAACATCTGTTATGTATACAAACATTCAAGTTAATTCCGCTGAAGAAATGTCTGTAATCAATGGTTATTAATTTTGAATATATGTTAAGTGATCTACCTGCTGCTGATGTTTTGAAGGTTTTGAATCATTTTTTGTCTAAAGAAAATGTCAACAGTGATTTTAATACAGGCTTACCACTGTCTACAGCTTGAATCATAATTTAAATCATGAAAAGGCCAAGTAATTGCAGTGTTATGGCTTTTCACACCCAGCATGATGCAGCAAAGCAAAAATCACAAACTAATGGTCTATTAATAATCAGGTGGAAAAAAATATGCAAATTATTAACAGTCAAAAACATTTGCTGTGATTGACCAGTGATATTTTATTACAGTTGAAAGTGAATGTTATTGTGTTTTTCCCCCCTTCAATTCCAGCTGTTCTGCTGTTGTACATAAGAATTTAAAAATTTCAGGAAAAAAATCATATGTCATTTGGATTAAGCTTACATTTTTAGTAAGTAATTGGTGATTTTTATATTGGAATATTGATAACCCTCAGGTACTGTGGTATGCTGTAGATCGTGACAAGTTACCTAAAGCTTTTTGTCTCGTAGGCCTAAAACACTAACAAATATCACGGTCACAATCTCGTTCAGTTTAGTTTCTTTGCATTTTGGTTTTCCCTTTTCCAGTGGTGGACGAAGTACTTGACTAAAAGTACAGATACCTATAATAAAATATTACTCTAGTAAAAGTTCTCCTTTTTCAATTTTTTGCAGAATTGTTTTCATTCAGCCACATTGGAGGGAGGGTTTTTGAGCATGAATGGACTGTTTAAGGTCATGCCACAGCATCTCAATCGGATTTAAGTCTGGACATTGACTTGGCCACTCCAAAACCTTAATTTTGTTTTTCTTGAGCCATTCAAAGGTGGACTTGCTGGTGTGTTTTGGATCATTGTCCTGCTGCATAACCCAAGTGCGCTTGAGCTTGAGGTCACAAACTGACGGTCGGACATTTTCCTTCAGGATTTTCTGATAGAGAGCAGAATTCATGGTTCCATCAATTATGGCAAGTCGTCCAGGTCCTGAAGCTGCAAAGCAGCCCCAGATCATCACACTACCACCACCATGTTTGACTGTTGGTATGATGTTCTTTTTATTGAACATGATACATGATATTGTTGAATCATGAACACTAACCTTAACTGAGGCAAGTGAGGCCTGCAGTTCTTTAGATGTTGTTCTGGGTTCTTTTATGACCTCTTGGATGAGTCGTCATTGTGCTCTTGGAGTAATTTTGGTTGGCTGGCAACTCCTGGGAAGGTTCACCATTGTTCCAAGCTTTCTCCATTTGTGGATAATGGCTCTAACCATGGTTTGCTGGAGTCCCAAAGCCTTAGAAATGGCTTTATAATCCTTTCCAGACTGATACATGTCAACTGTTTTGTTTCTCATCTGTTCTTGAATTTCTTTAGATCACGGCATGATGTGTTGCTCTTTAAGCATGCTTCACTTTGTCAGACAGGTTCTATTTAAGTGATTTCTTGATTCAACAGGTCTGGCAGTAATCAGGTCTGCGTGTGGCTAGTGAAATTTAACTCAGCTTTCTAAAATAATGAGGTTAAATCAGTTCTTTCATGATTTAACAGGAGGGGGCAAATAATTTTTCACGTAGGGCCAGGTAGGTTTGGACAGCTTTTTTCCCTTAAATGAAATTATCGTTTAAAAAATGCATTTTGTATTTACTTGCATTATATTTGCGTAATATTAAAATTGGTTTGATGATCTGAATCTTTTAAGTGTGACAAATATGCAAAAAAATAAGAAATCAGGAAGGGGGCAAAAACCTTTTCACGGCACTGTATATGACATGAGAAAGAATAAGGTCTGAAGTTAGGAAGAACATTTTAAGGAAAATAATTATATTTTCATAATGATTTTTTTCTTCTCAAAAATTGTCTGTGTT